ATTTACCCTATAGGTGTTTTAAATTACTATTTGCTTCTATTTGTGGGGGATGCGTACGTACGAGGTGACGAGAGTCCGTGCGTAGCTACTAATCATTCTAAGTCCGGGTGTTTTAGGGCCCAAAGCATGAAATACTTGTATTGTTTGCACTCTACTTGTTAATTTAAGTGCCTAAATTATATTAAAACTTGATAAAGAATTCGTAAAGACCGAACTTCACTTACTTTGAGCTTTGGCGGATTATTTGACCGTTAATAGAAATTATGCTTCCTTGTGTATTAGTCTTGTGGTAGCTCTTAAATGAGATATTCATGGAGTATTCTCTCTTCTTGTGGAGAGGGTCGAACGCCTCAGCAGTATAATAAATGCATCTATGGTTCGTGCCGTTCGACCATCGGCAGTTTACACATTATTTTGGATCGGGCCGTACGACCTCGACATAAATCGTGCGTGATAATGCTTGGAGCCCAAATATACTTGATATTATTTTTATGACTTGAGAGGTTATAATTTATTTAATGGCCTAAAATTGTTGAAGTTAGCATGTATCAATTGGAGATTTTTAAATTGAATATCAGTTAGAGAACCATTTATTTATTGTTGGTTATTGTGTTATTATTATTGTTCATGTATTCCATGCTTATTTAGAATTTCTATACTTCTTTATTATTAGCTCATAATAAGTGCCGATGTCGACCCCTAGTCACTACTTCTTCGAGGTTAGACTGGATACTTACTAGGTGCATGTTGTTTATGTACTCGCGCTACACTTCTGCACTAATCGTGCAGGATCTGAGGCAGGTGCATCTAGCAGTCAGTCATGCGCGCACCCGTTACCCCGAGGGTTAGTGGTGAGCTGAGGCCGTTCTGCAGCACCCGTAGTCTCTCTTTTGTATTTACTTTCTATCTACTTTATTACAAACAATAGCTTAGTGTTTTGTATATTCTACTAGTTGTTCATACACTTGTGGCACTAGGTTTTGAATATGCTAATAGACACTTGATGGTTTTCGAGTATTTATTTCACCTGCACTTTTATTGGTTTACGCTTTACCTTATTAAATTTTTCATTTCTTATTTACTTAATAAATAAAAATTGACTACTTTGAAATTATTAAAAAGAATAAATATATGGATAGTTTACCGTTGATTTGCCTAGCGGTGACGTTGGCCGCCATCACGGCCTATAGGAGAATTTGGGTCGTGACAAAAAGAAATGCACTCTTTAAGTATTACTAGTAAGGGTAGCCCCGGCAAAGCCCGGGCTCAACGTGAACAAATCTATCATAAGTAAAGTATAATGGCAATGTCGGCAAAGAATGAGCTTGTATAGGAGAGAGATAAAAGACTACAGAGCTACTACAGGAATGTTAACAGTTGCTCAGAAGAGAAATAGAAGACTATAGTGCTGCTAGATAAATGTTACTCTTTCAATTTTTTCCAGTCAAAATTAAGAAGATATTTAAAGGTAAATATTGATCTTGAGTAGCCAATTTGACCTCTGCTCTAAACTAAACCTATCAATTTTACAGTAAGAAATTTACAGAGATGATGTAGCAAGGCCAATAAAGAATAAGTTGTATTTAATTTCAAATGGAGATTAATTACTTCATCAACAAAGACCTATGAGGCAAAGCCCAAAAAAAAAGGAAAAACTGAACAAAATGAAATTGTGCATCTGTTTGGATTACAAGGGTAGCCAATATTCGGGAGCATCATATATTTTTTTGGTCTGGCAAAGTCAACTGTGTTTGGAAACTCCCTAGCAGAGTCCACAAACATTGACAGTTTCTTCCGGGCAAATACAAAAAAAGATGGAGTAACAATTTTACTCAATTTAAATAAATTCTACCCAGAAAAAATTGTGATTACGAAAATCAAAATATTAAGAAAACCTGCAAAACGAAACTCGCCTTTTAATAAGGTGAGCACGAAGAGAGAACTGAAAAAGACAAAGGGAAGTGAAAGAAGAGTGGATCAACTATGAAAATCTGGAGAAAGAACACTAGAGACCAGCTGTAAGGATATGTAAGACGGGGGAAATAGAGATAGCACGTGTCGCAAGCCAAACCAATTGCAATTTCCCCTAATGACCCCAAGTTTCTCAAACTGTGCCTTATTAATATTCACCCGTTTCAATTTATGATTGGATACGGAGTTAAGAAAAAATAAATATTTTTGAAATTTGTGGTCGTAAACAAGTTAAAAAAGGGGCCCAGAGTATTTATGTGGTCATAAAAGCTTCTCGTTAAGGATAGAATTGTAAGTTTAAGCTAAATATATTATTAAATTTAGAAATGGATCATTCTTTTTGGAACGGACCAAAAAGAAGATAGGTTCACATAAACTGGAACAGAGGTAGTAGTAGGAATAGGAAATCCCATTTTTTATGCACTTTTATCTTCTTTATCTAGTATAATTAACTCTTTATTCCCCCTTTTTTTTCTTTTACAAGATCTTCTTTTCTTTTCGTGATAATATTCATCTAGTCCGAAAAAGAAAAAGAAAATGGCAAAATGAGTAAGATATCAGAATAAATTTTGTACCATATTTTCTTAAATAAAATAACATATATTTAGAAACGGAACAAAATGTACCTTAAGTCAAAACTTATTATAGTTAAAAATATTTATAATGTTAATCAGAAAAAGAAAAAGAAAAACAGCTTTATCTATCCAAAATGGTGTTTTTTTTCTTCCAAAAGACAGAAGGCCTAATGAGGTCCACCACCATACTTTTGTTGATAGGAGGTTAACTGTTTATGCTTTTAACAAGATCCAAAAGGGCAGAGGACACACATCATTCAGTGTGTGAAAGACTCAGAAACTATCGATTCTAACATCGCGCGAGAATTAGAATACTATAGGCCATAGGGAGGAATTTCTTGTTATCTGCAATTCTGCATGAACAGTATGTGTTTAAAACTATACGATTAATATATATCATGCCAAAGGCTAACGTTGTTCTACTTTCCATGCTAAAACTTGCTTTCATTAAGTCCATCCCCTTTTGACGACTTTTCCAAGAGTGTGATAACTAGGTTTATTTGCTAATTAAGTGTGTCAAATAAACCTAAAAAGCAGCTTATTGGGTTCCGACTAAGTTATTTAAGTGAATTTTTAAATACAAATACATGGTCTGACCCTAAGCTACTTGATCATCAATCCAAACTCTTTTTCTATTAAGAATTCATTTAAACTAGGCAGAATAGCCTGGTAGACACTTGTACTTATATCGCTTTGACATCTCGGTCCCACTACTTTGCGAAGTTTCATCTAAGCACTTGTACGTGTCCAAAAAGAGTATTTTAAACACCTCTGACCATTGACTATGATACGTGTTTCTCACTTGCTTGACAGGAATGACACATCAGATCCACATCACTTGCCATGTCATTTTTTATCTTTGTCAATTAAAAATTCCATTTGAAAAACTAAAGTTTAAACCCTCTGTTTCACGTTTTCTCACCCATTTTCGGGTCCTTTAAATATGTTTCAGTCAACCCACCGGAACAATGGCTCATATACATATTTTCTCCAAACGGACAGAATTTATAAAATTTTAATTGACACTCACACACAAATTCGCAATCACTCCACTCCTCACCGTCAACTTTCAGTCTTACCCATTTTTAGAACCACTAGTGACCATCGCGACACCACTCCTTCGGCCAGCGACAAGAAATAGTAGCCATAGAAGATAACCATCAAGCTCAAAATTTTGAAATACTTCACTCGCCAGAAAATACACCCAACAAGCTTAGTATTTAAGAAGTATTAAAATTCAATCAAAATTTATTTATTTTAATATATTTTTGTTTTTGGAGAGTATTGGTGGAAGAAAAATTTGATTTAGAAACTTTAACCACCGAAAAAAATGGTGGAACAATAGAAAGGGGAAAGGGGAAGAAGACGGTTGGAGACGAATTGATGGAAGAAGGGATGCACAAAGCAGAAAATCTTATAAAGAAAAGAATAAAGAAAGAGAAAGGGAAAGGGGAAGGGGTGGGACCTGATAAAGAAAAGAGAAAGGGAGGGGGAGAAACAGAGAAGGACGATAAGGGAGGGGATTATATTTTTCTTTCTTTTATTTTTTGTTTATTTTTTGGTTTTGTCGTTTTCTTATTTCCCTTGAAGTAAAATTACCAATTCCGTGAATTCACGTACCATATGTGCGTACAAAACACGCGCTTTGTCCAACTCATCCATATAAATGTCACATAAGCTCAGTCAATGGTCAGAGGTATTTAAAATATTCTATTTGGACACGTACAAGTGCTTAGATGAAACTTTGCAAAGTACTGGGACCGGGATGTCAAAGCGGTATAAGTACAAGTGTCTACCGGGCTATTCTGCCTTTAAACTATAGACAAGTACATTGGAAAGTCGATGGAAAATAACCGGATACTCAAGTCTTCTGTTCTGCTGAATCACTGACAGATCTTTTCTTTTTTCGATTATGCAATTCTTTGTTTCATTCAAGTAATGTATCCTGAAGATTTGTCCAGCAATATATACCGTTTCAGTCTTCTTTTTCTCTTGTATTGAATGATGCAGCTCTTGAGCAATGGGATACTGATAACTAAGGAGTATCATTTAGAGAAGAATTACTCCAAACTAGATCTCTTGAGCATTCAATTGGTTTGGTTTTACCACTAGGGGATGTGTGGAATGATCGAAATTTCTTCGGCCTTAACCAAAGGTTTCGAGTTCAAGCTCTGGAGAACTATTGGTTGGAATGTTTTACTCCAGGGGCGGATTTATAGCCTAGATTACAAAGCACGTGAACCCATAGTCTTTCTATTTAACTAGGTATTTTATGTATGTATTATTTAGTCTGCTAGCCCTCATGCTCCATAAATGATATATGGTGCACTTGGTTGAATACAGAGTTAGTTGGACCCATGAGTTTAGTATGCCGGATGTCTGAAGCAAAATAAAAGAGTATGTTTGGTTTTGTTGTGCAGTAATATTGATAATTGGGAAAACAGAATGCTTTCATAGCTTAAATAAAGAGTATGCTTTCATAGCTTGATAATTGGGAAATAATTATCAATGCTTACAAGTCAATATCATGAAAATGTACCCAAGGTAAAAATGGTGGAACCAATAGCAGGGAAATGTTACAACATAGAAAGCTGATGAGAAACTAATGAATTTTAAACATACAAAGGAGAAATCATGCCGGAATTAACCACCTCAGGTGAGCCAACTGCCACAAATGCTATTCCTAGCACTGATCACCAGGTGCAAATAAAAAGATCACTTGCTTAACAAAGCTGAGGGTACATAATAATACAGAAATTAGAATCACCGCCAGAAGGTGAAAGAGGCAAAGCCGTTGAGAGAGAGTACAAGGACGGCAGGAGCTCTTTCTTATCTAGAACAATAAAAATAGTATAATTTTGTCACTGGCCAGGCAAAATCAGCTGAGGGAAAGTCAAGATGTGATCAAAGTCCTAGCTACGGTCACAGTCACATGTGAAGTTGGCCTGAACCCTCTTTGTGTTTCAAAGACAGGTCTGCAAATTGCTGATCAAGATCCCTACTTGTCGTGCGTCGATGGCTGGAAGATGATTGCTGTTGCTGCTGCGACTGTGGCAGTTGCTGCTGCTGGTACAATGCTCGTAGTCTTCCTCTTTCTTTTTCCAGTACTTCATGCTCCACTGCACAGAACATTTACAGGGTTTAGTTTCCCGAGAAGTTAATAAAACGAACGTTCTACTGTATCAACATTAGTAGCTTTCACTACCATCCCCAAAACAGAAAAGTTTTTCCTATTTGAACTACATAGCTAATCGAACTAGAAAAGTTCCTCAGCCGTGATGAAGGAAAAAATTAGGCTCTAGAAAAGTTTAAGTTTGATTACTTGAGTTTCTTTGTGAAGGTAGATTCTGTCCTTGGAACAGAGATTCACAGTAATCTAGAAACTTATAACCTCATTATTCAATAATGATAAAAGCATGGTGACCACTTCTCCTTTGTTGCTTTCTTTCCTTCCAAAGGTTAAAGTTCTAATGTTGAAGGGCTGAAGCATAAAAGAGGGAATCCCCATCTTACTTCTAAACAGCATCTAAAACCCAATAATAATTTTGCAGTGGAAAAATCTTTTTGTTTTGTTCTAAGGCAAAATACATATTTTGCCACCTGAACTATGGACCAAATCTCTGTTACACACTTGCTGACGGCCAAAATCAATCTTACACAATCAACCTTTAAAATGTATGTCTATGACACACCACTTTTGTACTTGACCAATTTTCACAAAACATGTCTATGCCACGCACCAATAGGATTGCGACATGTGTCCTTAACTTAAAAAAATTACTTACTTACAAATCTACCCTCTTCTTCTTCCTTCACCATCGCTCCACATTCTCATATAATTTCATCTGAAACTGAAAGATTCTCGACCATGGAGCAGGAGCATTACGAAATCATGGTGGTCCATGAGTGCTCTACTGAGAATTGTTATTTGCTTTTTCTTTTGACAACTACTGACTATTCGGAGTATTTGGGAAATAGTGCAGACCAAGTGTTTGATAATTGTTCTCAGAGAGTTCTGCCACTTCTCAAGATATAGATGTTAGGGACAATACAAGTTTCTTTGTTCTTGATTGTCGAGGATGTCTTGTGCCATCAGAGATTGATTACAAGACTTTTAAGAGCGAGCCAAAGAAGGCACTGGAAGAGGATAGTTAATTGAAGAAGCAAAGTGAGGATAGTTCCAGATTCAGCCAACTAACTCGAAATTTCATATGCAAATGTAATTCCGACTTCAACCTTCAAAGCTTTGCCGGCAATGGTGGTTTGAACAATACACCACCCAAATCTAATCCCAAACAGTTTTTACAATTCAATTGTTTATCTCAACACCACCACAATTTTTTAATGCGAATATGAGATCTAAAACTTATGTAGATTATGTGCTGCTTGGAATTGACCAAGAACTAATTCCTTGAGCATAAAAACATTTGAATGGACTGCTTTGAGGAGGAATTATGAACTTCCATTGTTGAGTTCTTATGAGTTCAAACCCGAGTTAAAGTATTAAGATTTTTTTTTAATTTTCTAAGTTTTTTAGTTCACTCGCCCTTTTTATGTGTATAAGACGCGAGTGCCAGCTAAGCAGAGTGGTGAGTCATAGACACACTTTTGAAAGGTTCTGGGTAAGATAATTTTCACCGTTAGAAAGTGTGTAACAGGGATTTGGTCATAATTCAGGTGGTAAACTTACATATTTTGCCTTTGTTTTAAAGAAACTTTGACATAGTCCCGCTATCCATTGGAAGAGCAGATAATAAATTTGGTTGAATCACAAACAATTTCTGAGGGCCATCGGACTGGGTAAAACCTGAATTAACCGTGGTGCACTTGCCGGAAACTCCTTGCCGAGGGCCTGTGCACCCCCGGGATTAGTCGGGGCTCTTAGAGACTCGGACACCCGGTGCAAAAAAAAAAAAAAAAAAAAAATTGGTTGAATCAGTTCCTATATCTCTTATATTTTTTATTAGTTATTAATTCCAATATCATTTTTAACTAATTAAAAGTCAAAACAGCCTTTGTAACAAACAGACGATATCCTTCCAAAAGTGATAGGCAGTAAGAACCTAAGTTGCTCGGACACGGGTGCGGGTGTCAGACACTCGTGCGAATCTAGAGGTCGGATCCTTCGAGATGTAAATTCTAAGATTCGGGGATATGGATCCTAGTACGGATACGGGTGCGAGGATCCGACTAAAAATAATTCAAAAAAATAAAAATATAAAAATCTCCCTAAATCATGAGAAATTTTGTGGAATACTTACGTATAGCTTGTAAAGTGTGGATTTCTTTTTTATTCTCAAGTCGTAGATAAGTAAAAGATTGATTTCCTAGATAAGGTATGCTATTTTCTTCAAATTTACCCTAGTTTTGGTTCTGATTTTGGAAATCAAATTGTATCTTATCTCGAATTTTCCGTCCGTCGTGGTCAAAGTACCCAAAATTGTTTGACCAGATCCAACATGGATTCCATAACCACACCCATACTAGTGTCGTGTCGACAGGGGTGCGGCACCTAAACTGCCGTGTCGGAGCAACTTAGGTAAGAACAATGTATGCTACTGTATACACAGCTCTAAAGGAGCTAGACAAGATCATAAATTAATAGATTGTACTGCGTACACAGTTCTAAAAGCTAGACAAAATCATAAATTCATAGAAATTTCAGATTTCCAGGATATCTTTTTTCCACACAAAAAAAAAATGATGCTTTCTGGAATTACACAAGTTGTCCCCATATCTCCTAGATAACATGCAATTTGCTAATGAGACCAAACATTGCTCAACACAATGTGCTTCCAGTTTTAGGAAAACCTAACCCAGTTTCCTGGCTCATCTTCAAACCGACCTTACTTACGTCGAGATTCTTATTCCCCATTAGAACACCATTCATCTGATAATTCTTTCAAGATAACCCTAATTTCCAACTATGCAGGTTAAGACTCATTATATCTGTGCTGCATATTCAACTTTTTAATACCACTTCAAGCGCTGGAGATAGCAGATACAACAATAAGGTATGACAGATAAAGAAGAAACTTACAATACTTTATCAGCTGTTCTTGAGCTAAATTTTCTAAGCGCTGCTTCAAGGCTTTATTCTCCATGCTTAGAATAAGGCTCTGCTGGTTAAGGAATTCAAGCTCAGCGGACACTTCAGAACCTTCAGCCTGGAAATTAGTAATGACCAGATCAACATTTTTAACAAAATACAACATGCATCATAGAGACATTTCTAAGAGTATATTACTTAAAGCGTCTGTGAATACACACCTGCAGAGCTTGTACATTTCTTTCCAGCTCAGATATGTATTGAAGCTTCCGAACTCGCGATCGTTGAGCAAACTGTCTGCATTACATGTCACCTTGTCTTTAATAAACTTCAATATATGTTAAATAAAATCCAAACAATATCCAACTAATAACACGAATAGTAGATAAGTGAATCAGCTGGCATATCTGATAATAAAAGAGGATAAGTTGCAGATAAAACATATTCTTCCACAACAAGTGGAAAAATATTTTAGTCAAAACAAGTGTGGCAAAAAATCGAAGAGAGATGGGAAAAGAGACTTGCTACATGGAAAAGGCAGTAACTATAATTGGGAGGTAGGGTGATTTTTTTTCTTTTTTTGATAATCACGGTGTCTGGGCCAGCTTACACGCAACTCGACTAAATTCACGGGATACCTACTACCTCTCACCAGCAACAGATAACTCTGTCCACCAAAACTTGGACAAATGGGATGAAAACTATTTTTGCCTCCGCGGGGATTTGAACCTAAGACCTCATGATTCCTAACCCACTTCATTGATCACTGGGCCACACCCTTGGGGTCCTGGGAGGTAGGGTGATTCTTATCAAGAATGTCCTTGATTCTCTTCCAGTCTATCTTATGTCTATTTCCTCTGCCAGTGAATGTGAGGACAAAGTTGGATAAGATCAGGAGGAACTTTTTGTGGAAGGGAAGCAAAGAAAAGAGAACTTTTCACCTGGTAAAGTGGGACAGGGTGTTGATGGATAAAAGAAATAGGGGTCTGGGCACTTGAAAGTGCGGAATAGCAGCTTATATGGCAGAGAAGCAAGGAGCTAGTGGACAAGAGTGATTACTAGAAAAGATGGTGATTAAAGCCTATGTATTCAGGTCCCGTACACATTTCTCATGGTTTAGGCTTATGGAAACATATATGCATCTTATGGGCTGTTTTTGAATCGCATAAAAAGGTCAAGATTGATAACAGAAGGAATATATGGTTTTGGCACGATGCTTGGATAGGACCCACACCATTAAAGATCACGTATCATGATCTTTATGGTTTCCCCAACAATGCAGGAAGCTATGCCCCACAGTGCTCGAATGGAAGCTCCTGGTGTATAAGTTTTAGGAGAAATTGCTCTGACTGGGAAATACCCAGAATGGCTCTCTCTGAACGACTTAGAGAATGTATCTCTCAAACGCAGAAGTTGAGGATTTTGTTGTATGGACAACGCAGAAGTATGGTCTCTCCCTGTTAATTTTTGCCACAAGGCAACGAACAATGAGGGAGACAGCTCTACAGTTGGCCATGTAAACAGTTAAAGGAAATCTAAAGCACCTTACAAAATCTGTTGTTTTATGTGGCTGGTGACTCACGACACATGCCTCACTCATTGCAACCTACAGAGAAGGGGAATGACGATATGCAACAGGTGCTTTATTTTTTTATTTTTTTGATGACCGAGAAATCGGTCTGGGGCCGATCCTTTGGACCAACCGCAGCCTTCGAAACTCGGTGGATAATGGGCCCGCCCCTCTACCCTTCTCCACTTAAATACCAGGCTTTGCTTTGCATGGTGTGGGGGCTTGAACCTGTGACCTAAGACACAAATCCACCACCTTTGCCATTTGAGCTAGGCCCTGGGGGCTGCAACAGGTGCTTTATGTGTAACAGCAAGGTGGAAAGCTGCAACCACCTCTTTTTGCATTGCCCAGTTGTTAACCAGATTTGGTCAATTTTCTTTTAGTACTTATTCAGGATGCAATTCCTCATGCCATATATATTAAACAGTTACTCAACCACTGGGCTTCCAGGGGAATCAGAAAACAACTGAGGAAGACATAGAACACGGTGTCTGTTGGGTTATATAGAAAGAGAGGAATGCTAGAAATTTCGAAGAGAAGATAGATACTGTACAGCAGCTGAAATACAAATGTTTATGGTTGTTGACATTTTAGTGCAATCTACAGGATGTAAAGAATGAAAATAGCATATGCTAGATTTCATAGAATCTTTACAGGAATAGGTTTTTCTACATCAAGGTTCCTTCCTTTTTGGTTTTTTTTGTAAATGAAGGATTCCTAACCAGTGTACTGCCTTTGTACTATCCTAGTGCCAGGCTGCTCTACTTTTGAAATAATGTTCACTTACCTATTCAAGAAAAAGAACATATTCCTCCGAACCTAAAAATCAAAATGTTCCATCTCTATCAAATTAGATGACAGATGACCATTTGATTCGTGCGAAATTTAAGAAAATGTTTTGGGTAAGTTGATACGTCGAAGTTAGCAAGAGAGGTGCTAAAAAGAATTGAAACGCATCAATAGTGGAGTAATTTGTCAAGTATAAATCACTAATGGGAAAAGTGATATTAATTACCGTCTTTGCATTGCACAGAATCGGCAAACAAAAGCCCCTTCAAAGTGGCTTGCTTCTCTTGGTTGGTGACAAAGAAGGCATATTTGACAGAAGACAATCTCCAAAAAAGGGGCACCATTTTGTGTAGCAGGTTTCATTTATGTGGAAAGGAAGCTGAAAGTGTAAATCACCTCTTTTTAAATCGTAATGTAACTGCTCAACTATGACAAATCTATCTGAACATCAAAGGCCTTAAATGGGTGATGCCCAGAACTGTCATACAATTACTTCAGTGCTGGAACAGGGGCAAAAGGAAGAAAAAGAAGTCATTTTGGCGGATTACCATTCCAGCTAATATTTGGGGGACCGTACGGAAGGAAAGGAATACCAAATGCTTTGAAGGCAAAAGCAAATTCGATCCAACAGATCAAGTTCACTTTTTTCTTTTTGCTAAATTGTACATATTCCCGCACTTCCTTTTTCTTAGAGCTGCAGATCTAATACAATTACTTTTTCTATAGAATAAAAAAAAAGTTACCATCCATGCATTATAATGAACTGTTGAAGGTGGGAAAGTTTATGTTTAGGAAAAGGGGTCCATGAAATTCAGGAGGAGTGAAAAAGACAAGGTCAAGCAAGTTAAGATGGAAGGAAGAAGAAATGTTCCTGACATATATATCCTTCTTGTAGCATAAAAATCAATTTGTTGTTAGAAGTTAAATCACCTATTTTTGTCAACATCTATGGATTGATAGGATTTGAACACCATATGCATCCCTTGAAAAATTCAAAGAGCATAGAATACCCTACACTTTTGCTGTAGGCCGATAATTAAAGTTTTAGAAGGTAAATAACACAGAATCATAGTAATACTTATTGTGGCTGCAGAGATTCAGAAGAAAAAAAGAACATGCTAAATTACTTATTAATGAAAGTTAAAATTCCTTTGGTTTTCAGCTATCCTGGTTATAAGCCTCCAACTAACCAAAACATCCAGTAAACTGATAGTATGGGCATGCAACAAAAAGAAAAAAGAATGATAGACAAACCATGAAAACAGAAACCAAGAACTATACTACAAAGTATAAACAGAAACAAAGAATTATCTTAAATATTTACTGCTACAGGAACTATGTCTTCTTGCAAATTTCAACATACAGAAAATATATTTATTCACTTCACAGCTATTTCCTTTGGGGTTGCTGAGAGAGTTACACTTACTGCTTTGCACGTTTCGTGTCACTTTCTGATGCAGAACTCTTGCTGTGAGAAGAATCCTTTTTTTCACCTGATCCCACTGGATTAGGAGGGACAGATTCAACTAAATCCTGCTTGTCGCTTCCTGCAGATTTGGGCCTCTCTCCTTCTTGTGGAGGACATGATGCTCCCAAGCTGTGAGTCTTGACATTTTCCCTAAAAGGGGGCCGGCCACGGTGATGTTGTATTGCATTTGGAGAAGCATCCCTTGCCCTATTCTTTTGCCGATTTGAGAAGTTTTGATCGATATGAAATGTGGCATGCCGAGCATCTTTGTAATAATCAAAGTCTTGGGATCCCCAGGAAGGGACGGGAGTTAAATTTCTGAATTTGTTATCATCTTGAGCTATGTAATCTAAGTGTGCAATGTTAGCAGCATCATGATATGTAAAGGAGTCACTAGATGAACGTCGATGGCCACCTCTGCGTACTGGAGTTTCCGGCTCGTTAAGAAGATCATCCAACCAAGATGGTTGCTCCTCTATAAGACAGCTTTCAGAAGAAGTGCGCTGATGGTGTGAACCATCTCTAGATTTTGAAATGCCTTTTTGGGTGACAGCAGAACTAGGGACATAATCAACATACGAGGGGGAAATGCTAGGAAACGGACTTTTAGGAGGCAGTAAAGAGCTTTTTCCATTGTACACCATATTTCTCATGCTAGATGCCCCCTTGGAATTTGCCATGCAAAGCACACAAGATCCCTGCTAAACAATGAAATAATTGTACATATGTGAAAAGAAAGAAAGGAAATAATTGTTTCCATATTATGCTAGATAGATTAGAAGCAACATATTGTAACCCATCCCAAAAAAATGTAAACAAGTAAACAGTCCGTTGGAAAAAGAATCTAACACTGCAACAGCAACCTACCCTGTAAGAAATCCCATTAGCACGAGGCAAAGTATCACCAGGAAATCTGCAATTTTCTATGCTAAAAGAACGATCAACATAAGTCAGTTTTCCAGCCCAATACTAAGAGGAGATAAAAAAAACCAGAGCCATTGCCAATCATTCTGCACATTCATGTCTACCAAATGAACAGAACACACCCAATCATGGAATAAAAGATTCACACAAAAATTGGAAAAGCTAGTTTGCCTCTGCAGCAGGTGATCAAAGAGGATATCAGGATATGGAACAAATGGATCGTGGACATTTAATTTAAAGATGCTAAGAGTGAACGAAAGGGAGAGGAAGAGAAGGCAAGGAGCATGTTTATCGCCAACAGAGGGTATGCTCACCTCAACTTTGCAAAAGCACTCAAAACAGATAGACAGAATGACTGCTCAACTTAAATTTGCAAAAGCACTCAAAACAGATAGATACAAAATCCAAGGAAGAACTGCCATCTTCTTCTATGTGCAATTTTTTTCTTTTATCTTCATTGTTCAGAGGAAAGAGGATTAAATGCGTAGAGCATGAGGGAATCCAAAAATTCATCAGAACATTAGGTTCGCTACAAATCAAAGTCTAATCTATCTGGTCGAGGCTACATGTACATGCATTTCATAATAAATTTACGCCATCATTTTAGGGAAAAGGACCCACAATAAAAAATCAATAACAAGGGAAAGAAGAACACATAATATCCCACCATCTTCAAATGGAGTAAAAAACCATTTCCTAACTTTGCAATAGGATGCTATGCTTTTCTTTGGTAATACTGTTTTATGGAAAACATAGAAGTATAGGCCAGACTTATAGGCCTGACTTGGGGTCTGTAAGAAGAAACTTCAATGGATTGGAATTGGACATTGTTTTGAAGTTCTAGCTTCTGTACTTCACTAGCATCATGTTGGCAGTGATCAAAACATGTTGGTGGACAGGTACAAATTCTGGATGAATCTCCAAGGAATCATATTACAAGCTTTTGTTCAGCTTAGGAGCAAATAGCATGGATTTCAATTAGAGAATTAGATTGAAAGTGCATCTCCTCTAGCTTTAGCAGTAAGCAAAGTAAAACTTTGCTACATATTTGAAAGAACACAAAACGTGTCAATCAAGCTAGTGTATGTTTGTATTTATAAATCACTACAAACAAGTAGCTCCAGGCATCCGAGTTCAAGGATATAAATCAAAGCCCAGCATCGTTCGCAGAGCTTGTGAAACCAGTTTCCATTTAAGAAGTAGATCCACACAAAGCAGGAGAATAAGGCTTTCGTCAACATATATACACAGAATCAGAGCTTACTTTCATGTTAAATATCTTAACGAGGAAAAAAGAAGTAATATTACAACCACTGATTGGGCAATTAGGAAAACAAAGTAAAGTAAAGTAAAGAAGGAAAATATTTTCCCCCAAATCTCAGGCTTAACATAATAATTTGTTTCTCTTAATTTAATTTTTCTCATCTGGAAATGCAAATGATCAAACAAAAAGGTAAAACACTCAACTAATTGTCACTCTCTCTTTTTCCTCCTCCTAATTCTTCAACACTTAATTGGCCTAACAGTTCCAGCTACCAAAGAGACGATTTCTTAAATAAATAAATAAGACAACTAAAGAAGATATGAAGAGAATTATACCAATGAGCTATCAAGGGGCGATGTGAAAAATGGAAGATTCAATGCTCACTGCAATTGCTGCTAATCCCTGTCTTCTTATAAATCTCTCTTTACTTTATTACTCCTTCACGTCTCATGTTGAAACTTGAAAGACAAACCCAAAATGAGATATCTGGCTTTTTAATACTTTTGGTGGTCTTTACGGTCTCATTCCCATTATTCTTCGATATGCGTGTAAAACTCCTTCCTCCATTTCAATTTATGCGAGCTCATTTGACTGACACGGATTTTAAGAAAAGAGTGAAAGATTTCTGAATTTGCGGTGTAAAATGAAGCACATATATTTTGTGTGGTTATAAATTATTGCATAAAGGTAAATTATTTCCAAATAGGGAAAGAAATTATTCTTTTTGGCACGGACTAAAAAGGAAATAGGTTCGTTGAAACGCACTACTATTTTCAAGCATCAATTGGTTTGCCAACAAATTATTCTGAAATTATTATAATATGAATATTAAATAATTGATAGCAATTATTTAATGGTTATACTTTTACTTTCAATTTTAACTTTGATTTTCTTAAAAATATATTTGGAGAAGAGCAAATGCGTTACTATTTTGTTGTTCTAATCTTGAGCTTAGTAATTCCGAGGTTATTATCCCACATAAAATGAGTAAAAGTAATACTACAATATGGTTTCAACACTTTCCGAATTGCTAATCCCAAGATTTAACAATTGCGAAATAGAAAAATTATATATTTTGTTCCGGAATTCCTCATCCTTGTAACCAATCGAGCTCTTATTATACAAAATGCTCTGAATAATAGAACAATAAATAAATATACAGTAAAACTTCTTTATAACATAAAATGCGTTTGATATTAAATATATTTTGGTTGTTATAAGCAAAAAATTACTCAAAAATTAATCTTTTTAATATTACGTATAAAAGATAAAAAAATTATTCATATTTAAATACACAAAATATATGTATATTTTACTAATTAATAAATTCGTAACTAAATATATAAAGATATAAACTCTAAAGCATACATTATAAAGCTGCTAGAAGATTAAATTATTTCAAGATTGATGAAGAAACTTCGTAACAATAGCTTGTTTCATAGATTTCGGTCTCTTAACAATGATATCACGTTTGAATTAGCGCAAATTTGTGTCCAAACTTTCAGCAAAATAATACCTAATAGCTTTCCTCTAAAGGCAATCTAAGATGCTAACAATTGAATATTCTATCTCGGTCTAAGTAGCAGTAGGTTGAGGTTAAAATCTTTAAACTTATCATGGTAATCTTATTAGAGATTCTACATGGATGTTGTAGAGGGGTAATTTTACAAAGAATGTACTGCTGTAAAGATGGATGTTTGCTTTTATAGGTAAAAAGTTGTTATGGAGAGGTAAAATATAATATAAAAAATTAGTTCTGAGAAAAACTTGGGTTTTTTGGTGAATGATTGTTATATGAAGATGTTGTTATAGAGAGGTCTGATGGTAGAAACAGATGCACACAAAGAATTGCGTCGAACTAATTTTGAACTAAAGTAATGTTGATTGATTAATTTTGGACAATTCACGCTCTTGAGCTAACTTTGAGGTTAAGTTAGGTCCAAATATCTATTTTCTTAGGATTTTTTACCTATTTATACTGCATTATAAACTTATTTACCCTCATAGAGAGGTTATTACTTAATTACATTAGCATATACAATTTACCATTTATATACAAAGAATATATTAGACTCCAATTTCACCCATTTTAGACTTCATTCTTCTCTATTTTTCTTCTCTCTATAGATATGTCCTCTTCAATTTAGCTTTTGCAAATGAACATGCTAAGAGCTTTGAAGAATGGTAAAGAAAAATAATTCGATTGGCTAAAAGCATAGAATACACAACATGAAGCACCAATACAAATGGGCTACCATAATTTTTTTTTTTTTGATGAATAAACAAGACATTGTCTAATGAAGTAGAATTTGGAACTAAAATGAAACTATCTGACGGTATAACTGAAATTAAACTGAAGTTAATCGTGTATACATGAGCTTAAACTATAATGATAGCCATTAGAAAGCTTAGATACTTTGAATTTGAAAATCGAAATTTGTAGAATTGTTATCTGTTTGGATTGGGTGATGTTGTAAATGATTGAGAATATTCTTTGGAGTTTATATCTCAATTTTGAGAGAATTTGGTAAAGATTCGAGGTGGTTTTGGTTGGAATTTCATATTAAAATTCGAAGAATATGACATAAACAAATTATATATATTTTGTATGCCGGGTGTAGAAACGATATACAATATATATATATATATATATATATATATATATATATATATATATATATATATATATATATATATATATATATATGTATACAAGTTGTATATAAATGAGAAACTTTCAGAAACCACTATGTTTTAGTGATTATTAGCTAGTTATAGCTACCATTTACTATATTACTTCCTGTAGCTATGTTTTGAGATTTTTTAGAGTGTATTCGATGTATTTAAGCTATTGTATTCATGAATACAGTAGCATTTCTAGGCGTGAAACAGGGGATTACAGCTAGACAGATTTTTGTATTCGAGTGTATTCGACTGTATTCATGGCGTGAAACATGGGATTACAGCTGGCTAGATTATTGTATTCGACTGTATTTACGGCGTGAAACAGGAGATTACACTGTTTTTAAACGGAAAGTGAATCAATTAACATAATAGACTCCTAATATAACTCAACAAACTCAATTATAACACACAAAATTTGTAACAGTTATAAAAAAGATTCTCAACCGAAAAATACTCCCAAAACATAGCAATCTTCAGAGAAATTATATAATACATCTGAATACATAAATTATATTAATTAAAAAAAACATATGAATACATTCATGGAATATAGCGAGACATTGAATACAATGAAATATATAGAATACAGCGGGATACATTGAAATACAATAAAAAAAAAAGATAATTAATACACTGAAATACAGCGAGATACATTGAAATACATTAAAATATATTAACAGAAAATTCAAAGTTGCTCAGCCCCAACTCCATCGTCTTTGTTCTAGAACAACCTTAATGTTGTCTCATCGAGAGGGCAGCGATTTTGACTCGAAATAAGCCAATTCAAACACCCTTTTACAGTGGTTGAATTGTACTTCTTTTTTAGTAAAAGTTTTAATAGTGAAAAGAGGCGACGTTAAAAAGAGTAAAGCCGCCTCCTAGACCGAGTCAAATCCGATCTCACATCAGATATGTATTTGCTGTCAAAAACACCAAATTAATGAGTCATCAACTTTTGCAGTGAGTAAAGGTTCAAGTCTTTCGAAACTTGAGAAATTCGACAAGGCTTCTTGCTCTAATGTCTCCATTGATGCTCCATGCCAGAGAGTTGGAAAATGAGAATTAAGGGGGAGAATAGATATGGGGTACGGAATACGAGAAATTTGAGTGGAGAGAGAAAAATAATACAAAACTTATTTTATGGCTTAAGGGTAGGAGGTGACCATAATAGATATTTGGCTATAAAAAGTCAAAAGGTAGCTATGAAATATAATTTTTTAAAATGATATTTATTTAAAATAAATAAGATATCAACATTTGCTATAGGAGGTAACTAATCCTATATAAATTAAATGCAAATTACAGCTTTTGACCAGATTATGTACAAAAAATTTGGATTTAAGTTGTAGATAAATTGAGATTTTGACCGGATTTATATATATTTTGCAAAAAACTTTAGTTACTTTAATAAATAAATAAAATTAGATAAACCGGATGAATAAATTTAAAATTTCGTATATATACGAAAAAGTATCATTTTCTTGTCATAGTATTATAGCCATGTCCAACCCAATTCATTATTTTGTCAATATTGGGCACCGATCTTGTATTGTTCATACTCCAAATGTCCGGTCTTGGACTTGCGAGGAGAGGAGGTGCCAAATATCCCATATAAGGTGGTATGAGTCTTTGGTCTCCTTAATACGGTCTTGGTCAATTCTCACTTCATGAGCTAACTTTTGGTTTTAAGTTGGACCCAAGATTTATTTTCTTATCATATCTCAAGTTCAAATCTCAATGGACAAAAGAACACTAGGGATTTTCTTCTTACCTGTAAGTTTTGATGGCCAGAATCACCCAGTATTTATGCTGATAGAAAATTGAAATACCTAATAAAATAATCAAGGTAAGTGCAAGCTGATCCGAACACTATTATGATGTCGAAGAATTTTTTTCAATTAAATAACTTATGGAATTTCTTGAGTTTTTCAAGTTTTCATGGTATTAATTAATATATTAATGAGAATTCTTTTATGAAGGAAAGATTGTGCCACTAGTTTTAGTATTACTGTTGTCAAGAATTGTCTCAATCATATACGACGAGGATGGCTCATAACCCACTAACTAATGTTGTAGTGAGTTGTGACAGAATCTTTACAGCTATTACTATACTACCACATAATAGTGCATTCTTAAAAGAATTAAGTTTTAATAGCTCATTTGTAAAATATTTAGTACTTGATAAAAGTAATTTGACCAACTTCAACAAATTATTCACGTGTTAGCAAAATTTACAACAACAACAACAACAACAAACCCAGTTTGATCCCAGCAGGTGGGGTCTGGGGAAGGTAGTCAGTACGCAGACCTTACCCCTACCTAATACAGGTAGAGAGGCTGTTTCCAATAGACCCTCGGCTCAGGAAGGGCAAGAAGAAGAGGAAAGCAAATAATAGCAACAGGATAATGATGGGAGATAAAAGAAAAAGGGAGAGATAAAGGATAAGTGATACCAAATAATAGCAACAGAGAATACAATATCTGAGGCGAACAAAACCACATAACGTAATAAAAATCTAAGAATATGAAGGGATATGCAAAAAATACATATTATAGTTTTCTTTATGTCAACTAACGCACAAATAACTAAGTACATAGTATAATTCTTATGAGTCACAAAGTCTAATATGATGAGAAGTACTTTACAATATCACTAATTTTTTTATTAGCTTCAAAGATTATAAATAAATAACAAAAAAAAATCTTTAGAATACAAGAATTGTATTAGTTCAGTTCAGTTCAGTACTTCAATTATTATGTGAATAAAATAAGTATCCATAGTTTATGGAAACAGTGAGTATTATCGCCTCAAACATAGTTTGTGGAATTTGGAGAGAGCTGTCACATGGTCCCCCCT